GGGTGGTCTGACGGGACTGCCGTGTGTCCTGCAGGGTTGGGCCAGGGGGTGCCCGTCGTGGGCCTGGTGGTGGAGGGCGGCCCCAACGTCTTCTCCGTCGTCCTGGAGTACCTCCGCGAGGAGCCGCCGGTCCCCGTGGTGGTCTGTGACGGCAGCGGGCGGGCCTCGGACATTCTGTCCTTCGCGCACAAATACTGTGAGGAAGGAGGGTAGGACTCCTGCCGGGGTGCGCAGGGTGGGGCCGGGAACCTTGGTCTTCCAAGAAATGTTCGGGAAGGAATCTCTTTAAATGCATTTCTATTGATGTCAGAGAGGAAGCGAGAGGGAGAGAGAGAGAGAGAAACATCCGTGATGAGAGAGAATCACGGATCGGCTGCCTCCTGCACGCCCCCTACTGGGGATGGAGCCTGCAACCCGGGAATGTGCCCCGACCGGGAATCGAACCCGGGACCCCCTGGTTCCTAGGTCGACGCTCAGTCACTGAGCCGCGCCGGCCGGGCTCAAGGAGGAACCTGGGCTGGGTTCTCCCATCTCCCAGGTCGGCGTGGGGGGAGCCGTGGAGACCATGGTGCTGCTCCCGGAATTCTTCCTCTGGGGGGGACACCCTCTCTCTCACCCTCGTTCCCCGTAGACGGGTTTCGACAAGCCTGGGGCTGAGGACAGGCGTGAAGGCAGGTTTAGACTCTGGTCCCCTTTCTTTCCTCGTCTATCCGGGGAGCCCCTCAAGGGGAAAAGTTTCCAATCAAAGATCCCAGGTGGCCCTGGCCGGCCGGGGTGGCTCAGTGGATAGGGCATCATCCCACGGACTGAAGGGTCCCGGTTCGATTCCGGTCAAGGGCACGGACCTCGGTTGCAGGCTCCTCCCCGGCCCGGGCCCTGGTCGGGGCTCATGCAGGAGGCAGCCCATTGATATGTCTCTCTCACATCAATGTTTCTCTCTCTCTTCCACTCTCACTGAAAATCAATGGGAAAGTATCTGTGGGTGAGGGTTAAAAAACAAACAAAGAAAAGACACCAGGTGGGCCGGGGGCCGAGGTGCTGATTCCCGCAGACAGGCCTGCCTCTAGCTGTGTCTCTTCTCTGCGGCGTTTCCCTTGAACAGGGTCATTGGCGAACCGCTCCGGGACCAGCTGCTGGTCACCATCCAGAAGACCTTTAACTACGGCAGGACGCAGGCGCTGCAGCTGCTGGCGGCCGTCGCGGAGTGCATGAGGAAGAGGGACCTCGTGAGTGTCTGCGGCTTTTTGGTTTGTTTTTTTAAATTCTCACCCGGGGGTATTTTTCCCGTTGATTTTTCAGAGGGTGTGAAAGAGAGCGGGAAAGGCAAAAAGGAACATCGATGTGAGAGAAACACATCGATGGGCTGCCTCCTGCACACGCCCCGACCAGAGGGGAACCTGCAACCGAGGTACGTGCCCTTGACCGGAATCGAACCCGGGACCCTTTGTCCCTGGGCCGACGCTCTAGCCCAGTGATGGCGAACCTTTTGAGCTCGGCGTGCCAGCATTTTGAAAAACCCTAACTTAACTCTGGTGCCGTGTCACATATAGAAATTTTTTGAT